TGATGATCATAATAATGGTGATGATGATATGAGGATGACATGATTAACATGATGGTCAGACGATGATGATGATCATAATAATGGTGATGATGATAGTGATATTCAGTATTATAAGGGTTTAAGGGTTTATTAAAGTGTCTACCAAAATTTACATTGTGTATATACAATATATAAATGAATAATGAATTGAAATTACAGCTAATAAGGAAATAAATCATTAAATAGTTCTATAAATACAAATAAAGGCTATAAAAAGTTATGCAGATGATTATATATACACATTAAGGTGAAAAAATATTAATTGACGACTAGAAAATGGTACAGGCTAACTGGAATAACTTGTCGTTAAACTAGCCAGATAACCTAATAGTGTTTGAGGCATTGTGAGGTCAGATATTAGTTGGTACGATTATAATGATGACTACGACGAATGAATTCATGAAAAGTTTTGATAAATGGAATATCCAAAATCAACAAGATGACAACCACAAGAAGCAAAGTTAGAAAGTATATGGTCACAACGTACTCTGCCTGGAGTATCATTTAAGACTGAGTTCTGCAACTGCTACAAAATTTTATTTTGTAAGCATAAAAATGCTCTAGTAAATGCTAAACAAACTACTTACTGTTTAATGATATTCTTTTACGGCATTCCACACACTTGTACTGTTGCGCGTTTAGACCGCCTTCAGGAGAAATGTTCAAATTGTACGTCGCGACTGACACCTGAAACAACAAAAACCAAACCACAGAGTTCTGGTTAAAAACACGTCGAGTTGTTAATCAAGATTGTTGGAATGAGGCGTTTTAAGTAATTAAAGCCGTACTTGAAATAATTGAAGAAATTTCTTGGAAGTGTAAAAGGCACGCATTGACAAATGATTGTATAGTCAGTTCGTAGAGCGGATTCAGCGCACATAACTTTGAAACGGTACAGCACACGGCCATGTCATGTCATGGTACGTGAAGGACAACCTTTAAACCGAAACAGCGCGCGAAATCATCATGGCCCGGTTGTACAGATAAATTTTATCCAGTGGATAAATTTATTGGATAACAGCGCCGACTATCCACTGGATAAGGATTTATCCGTAAATTACTGTTAAGTGTCATCCTTTATAAACAAAGTTTTTTTAATCTATAATAAAGGAATAGTGCTTCAAAAGGCACGGTTATGGTCACGTCCGTACTTTGAGTTATAGGCTTTTTCTTTACAATAACGGTATACTACGCCTCTAGCTACCTTACGACTGGCACACGGTCTTCTGATCAGCTCCAGACATTTACGGTGAGAACAAAATGAACAAGCTGGAAGAGAAAAATCCAAATATAAGTGCAGTGACACTAACTCACTGGATTCCTTATGGCAATTCCCCTAGAGTCGGCGGAAACTAACATTCATTCGCAATGCAAACTAAATGGGTTTTGTATTCAATTATAGCACTGATATGGCTTTTTTAAAATATTTAATATGCCGGCGAGAAAGGAAAGCGGGTTTCGTTAGTATTTAATACCATCAAATTTTGTTACTCAAAATATTTTTTTGTGGCAAATGCGAAGGAGTCGATTGAGCCCTTTGATCGTTTGGTCAGTAAAAGACAAGAACAATCTCAAGGTATACCTTTACATATAAATAACGATTGCCACATGGTCCATATCCATTTACCACAGCGGTCACACAGGCGACTGTCAGTAGTACGAGCCCCTTGTTCTTTGACGAACTGATGGCCTAAGATCTTCTTGGCGTCAGGTATTTTGACAAACGTCGATTCTTCCTGAATTATTGAACCAAGATAATAGTAGACATTTACTAATGGCAACCAAGCAATGAAAAACTTTAGTTCTTTTAGGTTTAATATATCATTTTATGTGGTTGCGCAAGAATCTAAAAAGGCCCAACAGATCAAAGATATTTCTTGAGCACAGACAGCGTCTAAAGGCTCTGACAAAAGGAACCAACGTTTGACTCAACATTTGACTAGAAAGTTGATCCAAGATTTAACTAACATCTTAGCCACACTTTAACAACAAATGCTAGGTCAAATGTTGGGTTAAATGTTTGGGCCAAATGTTGGGTCAAATGTTAGGTCAAATGTTGGGTCAAATGTTAGGTCAAATGTTGGGTCAAATGTTGGGTCAAATGTTGGGTCAAATATTGCGTCAAATGTTGGGTCAAATGTTGGGTCAAATGTTGGGTCAAATGTTGGGTCAAATGTTGGGCCAAATGTTGGGTCAAATGTTGGGTCATATCTTAGGTCAAATGTTGGGTCAAATCTTAGGTCAAATGTTGGGTCAAATCTTAGGTCAAATGTTGGGTCAAAAGTTAGGTCAAATGTAAAGTCATATGTTGGGACCGTTTTATTCAATAATAGGTTAAATGCACTTTTTAAGCCGGGGTCAGTCACAAGAGTAAGGTATTACCTTGTTTTCTTGTAGCTTGACTCTCAGTTGGATCAATCTCTCTACAAGTTGTCTCCTTTCCATTGAGTTAGGTGTAGCTGCTCTAATCATGTCTTTACATGAACGAATAGCGTGTTCAAGTTCTTCTGATGTCGAGAAACCCATAAAATTCTAAAAACGAGAACAAAGGCGTTAGAGCAGAACTTTTCCAATGACTGCTGAATCTCACCTTGGGAAAAAGTTATTAAAAGGCGTTTATAGGCCGGCTTTGTTCGAATAGGATGTTTGCATGATGGCGTCATTTGACTCCTACTACCACAATGCTTCGCGAATTTTCTTTCTTATTTAAATTTGTATTCCCTCATGAGAATAGTAAGACAATTGGTATTAATTAACTGAACAAGTGAAAGTGTGCAAAGGAGTCTGGAAGTAGAGGTCAATGACGCCATCAGGCAAACGTCCTATTCGTAAATCTCTCCGGGCTCCTTGGTTAGACAGATTCATTTACTCAAGGGATACTTTCATTTTATTGCAAAATATTCAAAAATACAAACAATAAAGTAAAGAGTGAATATTTTTAATAATTCAATCAATTTGAAAATTAATGCATCTGTACTGGAACACGCACATCTTCTACACAAAATTTAAGCCAAACTCTTGAAACCTGACTTTAATGATCGTTTTCTTAGTTCTTGTAGTAGTTATGTACTTGTATACCTTTGTCTATGTAGATTGTGTGTATTATCTCAGTTCCCTTTGCGCATCTAAAGTTATCATGTGCACACTTTTAAGAATTATACAAAAGAGGCACTGAGTTATACTTTTGAGAAATCGCACGTAACAATTCTAATAAGTGCGGAACATGTCTTCGACGTTAAGTTTTTAACGACGCAGTTATGCTTTTATCTCAAACCTTGACTTTTTTTAGTTTGAAATATGTTACTTCAATGAATGGGGAAGGGCAGGAGAGGAGAGGAGAGGAGAGGAGAGGAGAGGAGAGGAGAGGAGAG